TGGTGACCTCTCCTGTTTAACAGCAGACTAATATTTTCCTTATGGTTCAGCCTGTTGTCTATGTACCTGAAAAACACTTTCTTGTAGTTTCTGACATCTCTGGCCAGTTCCAATTCAAGTTGAGCTTTTGCTTTTCTAACCGCACCGAGAGTGCGCCCTCAGCAAGTTTCCTGATGTGGCAAGGTATACTCACTGGAGCGGGGGATGTCACCCCGAGGGACCTGGACAGGCTGGAGAGGGGGACCCAAGCCAAACTCATGAAGTTCAACAAGACCAAGTGCAAGGTCCTACATCTGGGTTGGGGCAATCCCAAGCACAAATCTAGGCTGGGCGGAGAATAGATGGAGGGCAGCCCTGAGGAGAAGGACCTGGGTGTGCTGATTGATGAGAAGCTCAACATGGGCTGGCAATGTGTGATCACAGCCCAGAAGGCCAACTGCATCCTGGGCTGCATCAGAATTGTGGCCAGCAGGTCAAGGGAGGTGATTTTGCCCCTCTACTCCACTCTCCTGAGACCCCACCTGGAGTACTGCATCCAGCTTTGGAGCCCTCAACATAAGAAAGACATGGACCTGTTGGAGCGGGCCCAGAGGAGGCCCCAAAGATGATCAGAGGGCTGGAGCACCTCTCCTATGAGGAAAGGCTGAGAGAGTTGGGGCTATTCAGCCTGGAGAAGAGAAGGCTCTGGGGAGATCTTATTGACGCCTTCCAGTCCCTAAAGGGGGCCTACAGGAGAGCTGAGGAAGGACTATTTACTAGGGCATGTAGTGAGAGGATGAGTGGGAATGGCTTCAAACTGGAAGATGGGAGATTTTGATTAGATATTAGGAAGAAATTTTTCACTTTGAGGGTGGTGAGGCACTGGCCCAGGTTGGCCAGAGAACTTGTGGAAGCTCCATCCCCGGAGGTGTTCAAGGCCAGGTTGGACAGGGCTTGGCACAACCAGGTCTAGTGGGAGGTGTCCCTGCCTATGACAGCAGGCTTGGAACGTAGATGATCTTCAAGGTCCCTTCTAACCCAAATCATTCTATGATTCTACGATCTCTGCACACCCTGACAAGTCCCTTGTAGTTCTCAACGGGTATTTGTCCACTTTTCCGTCTCTGGTATACTTCTCTTTTGGTTTTGAGCAGACTCATAGTTAAGCCAAGGAGGTTTCTTGCTCTACCTGCTTCCTTTACCTTTAAAGGTGACAAACTGTTTTTGTGCTTCCAGGAGAGCGTTCTTGCTCTCAATGGGAGCGTCTTCAATGGGAAGGTTCCCATTGCCCATTGCAGGGGCAGGTTCCCTGGGGGCTGGGGTGACCTGCGAGTCCCAGGGCAGCAGTGCATGAGCAGGGCTGATGGGCACCATCCTATGGCTTGTCCCATCCTGTGGTTGTGGGGTTGGGGCAGGAGCTGTCCCTAAACTGTGCCATGGGGTCTCACCCAGCAGCACCTGGGAGGGTTAGTGGTGCAGTGTGACCCAGGTGTCACATCCCAGGGCTGCCCAGGAGGATGGTGACAAGGAGATCTTTCATCAGAGCCAGAAGAGCCTCTTTGTCCTGGCGCTGCAGGTGCTGACGTTGAGCAAGGAGCCGGGAGGGACATCTTGTGTGCTGACTGCTGCAGGCACAGTATACACAGGCTGGTCAGGCTCAGGCTTTTGCCCCTGAGGGTAAGGCCTTCAGGAGCTGTTTCACGCGTGTTGGCATAGAGATCATTAGCCCTGAGCGAAGCCCTGGGAGCTGTTGGGAGATGGCTGGGCAGGGCTGGTGGCTGCAGCAAGAGCCTGGAAAGGTGGTCCCATGTGGTTCAGGGGCAATGGAACAGTCAGGACTCCTGGGCCGCCTCCTGACTCTGTGCCTGGTGGTGGGTCTGTTTTGGTCCCGGCTGGAACTGGCTCTGTCTGACATGGGGGCAGCCCCAGTCTCTTCTTGCAGGGGAAATCCCTGCAGCCCCCCCCCATCCAGACCTTGTCAGGTAAACCCTATACATGTCCAAGCCTCACTTCTGCTTGGACTTTGAGGCCATGAAGCTGTGGCAGCCTTGCCTCTCCCAGGCTGCCATATTGTGCCATATGGGCACAAGTTGGAACACAGGAAGTTCCGTTCCAATACACAGAAAAGCTTTACAGTTCGGGTGCCAGAGCACTGGCACAGGCTGCCCAGGGAGGTTGTGGAGTCCCCTTCTCTGGAGATTTTCAAAACCCGCCTGGATGCAGTCCTGAGTAATGTGCTCTGGGCAGTCCTGCTTTAGCAGGGGACTAGATGATCTCTAGAGGTCTCTTCCAACTCTGAAAATTCTGTGATTCTGGGATTCTGAGATTCCTGACACAAGACACCTCTTGAAGGACTCACAATGTCTGTTCAGAGCTCTGCCTCAAACTGTGCACTTTGTGGTCTCCTTATTCTTTGCCTATTTGAATAGTTATTTATTGCATCTATATTTAGTCTCCACCAGGTCCCAGTAGTTAGATATTGCCATAATGGGCACTTAGAAGACTGACCACCAATCCAGCTTAAACCTAGGTGCTGTGGAGAACCCTGGGACCCACGTGCAGGATGCATCCATGCCCACCTGTATCTCTTGCAGATCAGTGTTGGCTGCCTGCAGAATGCCAGAAGTCTTCTTGTGGTGGATGACACCCCACTGAATGGTGCAGGTGATTTGCTAGAGGGACGGGATGCCATTCAGAGGGACTTGGACAGGCTGGAGAAGTGAGTCTGTGTGAACCTCATGAGGTTCAACAAGGCCAAGTGCAGGGTCCTGCACCCATGTTGGGGCAATCCCTTGTATCCATACAGGCTGAGGGATGACCTGATTGAGAACAGCCCTGCAGAGAAGGTCTTGGAGATACTGGCAGATGAAAAGCTGGCCATGAGCCGGCAACGTGCGCTGGCAGCCCAGAAGGCCAACAACATCCCAGGCTGCATCCCCAGCAGCGTGGCCAGCAGCATGAGGGAGGGGATTGTGCCCCTCTGCTGCGCTCTGCTCTGCTCTGGGGAGACCCCCCTGCAGTGCTGCCTCCAGCTCGGGGGCCTCAGCACAGGAGAGACGTGGACCTGGCGGAGCAGGGCCAGAGGAGGCCCCGGAGATGCTGGGAGGGCTGGAGCCCCTCTGCTGGGAGGACAGGCTGGGAGAGTTGGGGGGGTTCAGCCTGGAGAAGATAAGGCTCTGGGGAGACCTTATTGTGGCATTTCAATACATAAAGGAGGCTTATAAGAAAGATGAGGACAGGCTTTTTAGTAGTTGCAGTAGGACAAGGGTTGATGGTTTTAAACTAAAAGAGGGGAGATTCAAACTAGATGTAAGGAAGAAATATTTTACACTGAGGGTGGTGAGCCCCTGGCCCAGATTGCCCAGAGAAGCTGTGGCTGCCCCATCCCTGGAAACTTTCCAGGCCGGGTTGGACGGGGCTCTGAGTGAGCTGGTCTAGTTGAAAATGTCCCTGCTCATGGCAGGGGGGTTGGACTAAAAGACCTTTAAAGGTCCCTTCCAACCCAAACCATCCTATGATTCTATGGGGACAGGTCGTACTGCGTAAATGTGCCTTGTTGACACATGCGACAATTCACTGAGTCTGGGAGCAGCGGCCTGTTTGCTAGTCACATTTAATGTAAAATTTGTGCTGGTGGTGCACTGGGGACCTACAAGCCCCTTAGGAGGCAGCTGGCAGCAGCACCAAGCCTCCTGCTGCAGAAGCACGTCCCCCAGGGTGGAAGGGATGGCTGGGAAGGGCTGTGTGAGAAGAGAGGCTGGAAGTTATACCTGGAAATTACGGGGGGGACATCAGCTTGTGCGATAAAAGCTTGTCCGCATACCCGCAACAGAGCACGGAAGGCGGAGGACCTTCCTCCTTCCCCAAAAAACTACCCTGCAGCAGCTTCTGCATGGCAGGGGGGTTGGAACTTGATGATCTTCAAGGTCCTTTCCAACCTAGACCATTCTATGATTCTATGATTCTATGTCCTGCCACAGGACTCACTGGCCCACCCCTCTTCACAAGCCCAGAAGAGAGCAGAGGTGAGGACACAGCAGCAGGCAGGAACCCAAATTACAGAGGAAGGTGCAGCCCAACCGGGCTCCTGCCAGGCCTGTCCTGGGCAAAGCCTCAGCCCCGCGGTCCAGGTATGAAACCAGTCATGATGAGTAAGTGCCAGTGCACCCACGGGACACCTCAAGGGGTGCTGGGGATGAATGTCTTGGCATCATGCAGGATGTTTTTGGGAGGAACCAAATGGAAGGATTCAGAGGACTTGGAGAAGAATAAGTAGGGGAAAATGGATAAAAAGGCTCCATCACACTTGCTGGCTGGTCACACCATGCCCTAGGCATGACCACTGCAGTCTGTCCTGCCTGCTTATTGAACCCCTTCCTAGAGATCACAGCACCCGGAGCCAGCCCGCGGTTCGTGGGGGGTCTGTGGGGCAGTGACTGAGGAGACCAGAGCCAGGGAAACCACATGTAAGAGGGGTCAGATGCCTGATGCCCCCCGGCAGCCCCCAGCCCAGTACCAGACAGGCCAGAGGCAAGCGCACAGTCAGGTATTATAAGGTCACTTCTACCTGATTCCATGACACGGGAGTCGCTGTGCTGCTGTGAAATCACAGCCTCTCCCCCCCGTACCGACATAGCTCTGACCTCACAGTCCCCCGATCCTCTGGGCTACAGCACTGCAGCCACTGGCATTGCTGTGACAGCGCTTGTCCCGATACCTAAATGCTGATGACCTCACAGTTCCCGACGTGCCCAGGACTATGAAGGTACTGCCCCCGCTGCCCTCATGGCTGACATCACAGCCCCCAGCACCCCCGACGTGAGCACTGAGGAGTTCCAACTTATGCAGCCACAATCCCAAGCGCTGCCACCTCTGACATCGCTGCCCCAGGCCCTGTGTCACTATGACATCACACCATCACATGGACACCAGCACTGCCAACTGCTGCCTTTATTGGGCTGTTCCGGCGGCTCTGGGCGTCGCGGTCCTGGGGAAGGGGGGCAGCCCGGACGCCTCGGGCCTCAGAGGGCGGAGCCCTGGGGGGCGGAGCTTTCTGGGGGCGCGGCCAGCCCCAGCAGCCCCCGGGCGGTGGTGAAGAGGTTGAGGGGGCTGCTGCCGTCGGTGATGAGGGTGGACTGCAGCCCCAGGCCCTGCAGCAGCTTCACCTGGGGGGTGGGAAGGGGGCTGGCCACGGCCTGGGGCAGGGGGCCGCCGCCC